TTTTTTTTTTTCTTGGGGAAAAAGAGAAGGGGGAGAGGGAGAGAGGAGGGGAGGGGAGAGGAGGGGATTTTGCCATGGTTGAGATGGTGTCAAGTGATTCGTGTGTTTGAGTATGATATTAGAAGGAAATTGTGAGATTTTGTGAGAGGAGGAAGGGAGAGGGGAGAGAGAAGCAAATAATTTGAAAAAAGTAAACGCAACGTAAGTATTTATCAATTGTGTAAAGAGAAAGATAAAGATACGAGGAATACTTAATAATCATTCCAAATTTCTCGGAATACTTTATCATCGATACGAAAAAGATTGCAAGAAAATATTTTCTTTCTTTGATCAATCAACACTTTTACACCGGTAACAAGCTTCTTTTTCCCTTGTTGTTAAAGCTGTTAAATGTAACTAATAACAAACAGGAAATAACAAATTAAAAAAATCAAGTTTCTCGACACAACAAACTTATAAACTCTACATATCAATTTATTATTTATCAAACAGATGTTACAGCTGGAATAATTATATATGACTCTGATAAAACACGAGGGAGCATCATCAATTTGATAAATCTGTAACAAGTGTTATTAACATTCCAACAAGCGGATCCACTGATATTTTTTTTTTGATCGTATTTTTTCCTTTTCTTTTTTTTTTCTTTCTTTCTCCTTTTTCTTTTTCTCGACAAATTAAAAACACGGCCGAAAAACACGGTAAAACATTTCTCGAGTGTCAGAATCATACGTAATCCCATCGTGCACTCTGCTAAATACCTGATCGAGCATGAGCGAGGGCCACTAAACCGATTACCACACAGTTTATGCCGTGCCGTGGTAACAGCCATCCATATAAGTGCATCCTAACGGCAACTTAAATGTATCCCGGGACTGGCTGTTAAAGATCAATCTAATTTGGTATTAATCGATGGTTATTAATCCGCCACTTTCGCGACGATGGAAATTTAGCAAGCGATGGAAAAGTAATTACCAATTTGCGCGACGTTCCAAGGGCTCGAAGATTTGAGAAAATATCTCACACGGAACACGTAATAAAATGGAATTCAATTTGTCACAACGATATCTCTATCTCTTCCCTTTAGATAGAGATATCGTTGTGACAAATCTTTTCTCTTTTTTTAATTCAAATTTAATGCGACCTAATTCGCCACGGTATGATAACGGGTAAACACAAGTGTGGATCCATCGAATTTCTCGAATGTTCGAAAAAATTTCTATATCTATCAAAATTCTAAGAGGAAAATTCTAAAAGTTGGGAGACACTGTTCTTCCCCGAAAACGGAACGGTCAATTTCCACGTGGTCATCAGTTAGGTTCCGTGGATTTTTTCATGTATACACAGATATACATCTGGTTATTCGGTCGGGTTTCGCGGCGGGCTGGAAGATGGCAGAGCGCGTGGTGAAAGAGAAGGTCCCGGCAATCTGCAGACACACACAGGCTGTCAGAGGGCAAACTTGGTGTCCAGGAGCGGAGAGTATAGCGTTACACAGGCCTTGGATGTCAGTGACCGGAGCATAACCCCAAGATAGTTTCACCATTACACCGGCGTCTTCCTCCTTGGCTCCTTTCTGTCGGCTTGTGTATACCGTCTGCACGCTCGTTCAGCCGTGGCCGCAACACCTCCGTGTCTCCAGTTGCAAATGTTCGCGTGAACGAGCTTCTTTCCAGCTTCAGGACACTCTCGATCAAATCTGGACGATTTCCACGATCGATCTAAGTTTCCTTTCGTTGGATTGGTTCGTCATTTCATTCGATTCGAGGATATTTCATTTTTTCCTTTCGATTGTTTCTTTTTCGACTTCGATAAATTGTAAAATAAATTTTATATTTGTTGTTGTTTGTTTTGATATTTGTTCCATATAAAAATTTTGAAAGTTTCTTTTATGATTTGTATTTTGTATTTTGTATTTGTAATTTTATAATTTTGTAATTTTGTATTTTTTTTTTAAAACTTTACAATTAAATCTATGTGATCTTTACGTGACTATTTTTGATCTCACGGAAAAATTAAGAAATTTGAAAAATACTAAATTATTCGTGATCTTCTGAATTTCATTTCTTTTACAAATTTATTTAATTGATTGATTAATTATTGATTCGTATGTATTTGCTTTTTGAATTTAATTAGATGTTTCCACGATCAATCTACATTTCTCTTTGTTGGATTGGTTCGTCATTTCATTCGATTCGAGGATACTTCATTTTTTCCTTCGATTTCCTTTTCGAGTTTGATAAATTATTGATACTTGTTCCATATAAAAATTTTGAAAGATTCTTTTATGATTTGTATTGTAATTTTATATTTTTTTCTTGTTACTTTACAATTAGATCTATGGTTTACATTTTTGATCTCACGGAAAAATTAAAAAATTTAAAAAATACTAAATCATTTGTGATCTTCTAGATTTCAATTTTTTTACAAATTTATTTAATTGATTGATTAATTATAATTGATTCGTATATATTTGCTTCGTGATTTTTCCTTTGTGTAGCTTCAAACAAGAAATTTGCTTTTTGAATTTAATTAGACGCCAAATTTTCATTAGCACGATCAGAAGGATATTCAAATGAGAGATAAACTGCATAGTGAACTATTCTACGAGTGATCGCCTGGCTGATTCGAGTTCGATTAGAGCATTTATGCGCATGATCGATCCTCGTGTAAACCTTTTGAATGTTTAATTGAAATTCATGGTTGATGTGATTACTGCAAGTTTTCCATGTTTTCTATATAGATTGATCAATCACGTTGCCGATATGTGATCGATCGTTTTTTAAAAATTCCAAATATTTTATTATATTTTCCAGACATGTATAATTTGTAAATTTAATGGGTGAAATTAAAATTATTTAGAAGAAAAAAAATTGTAAATTTTCATAATACTAACATTTTAATTGCAGAGATGTCATAATTAGAGAATAATTAATATATCATATCATTAACAAATATTTTCTTTCACTACTGTTTTGAAAATGATTAATCAGAGATTAATTCTAATTCGGGATAAAAGTGACACAATTTTCAAATTGTATTTCTTCTATATCCTCTTTTCTGTATTCAATTAACGATAATAATTAAAATCGTATCGAAAAAAATAGAAAAGAATTGGAAATTAAACAAAATTCGGATCCCTTTAAATTTTAGAAAATTTCGGAGCGCGCATGGAATAACGAACTTAATGAAATATAACTGAATCGAGTTGTGCAATTTATGATGCAAAAGTTACAGACCAACCTGTTTCGTATTACGCGTAACGTGGTAGGAGATTCGATCCAGTCGTACCTCGTGTAATTGGCACACTTTATATCATGTTACCTCCATACTAATATCTTCTCATGCATACTAATAAGGATCATATAAAATTACCTGCAATTTAAAATGTGTATTTTTTACACGCGTAGACGTTGATGAAATTCTATAGAGATATTAATATACCCAAAGTTTTTCTTATTAACGAAATTTCTTCTTCTTTTTTTTTTTTTTTTACAGATTTCCTTTTTTCCTCAAATCTCGTTCGTTCCATTCCTACATTTTCAAACAGCTTCCTCGTCACAGCTCGAATGGTGAGTGAATTTCCAATTTATTTTTAACAATAATAATTAATGCATAACTAAAAATCGCATTCCAAGAGAAATGTCTATGAACGATTTGCCTCTCGTTAAAAAATATCGGATTAGATTATTTCATCTTACTTTTACGCGTAAAAATCTCGCGTATCGATCGCTCTTTAATGAGGGTCGATCGACCAAATTGGTTTCGAAACTCCCGAACAACGTGGACGACAACGTGGCGGTGATCGGCGATGAAACGAAGCCGATCGATAGACACCGAATTGTTGAATCCGTGCATCATGAAGGGTAACGACCGCAGGCAGTTTGGCAGCATTCGTGAAAGCAGCCTTTCTTCGAAGTAATGCAACCGGAATCATGCGATGACGAGGGCGATTATCAACGTGCCAATGAACGAAGGGAGACAGAGTGTGCTTTCATTTGGTATGCGTGGATGTGTGCCTGCGTGAACGAGCGAGCAACAGAGAGGAAGAATCAGAGGCATAGAAAGAGACAGAGAGAGAGAGACTGAATGACAATCGATCCAAGGTAGAAAGAAGAAGAGGAAAATGGCGCAAATAACGAATGGAAGAATATGATGCGAAGTCTTAAAAAAGAAAAGATGGAAAAAGACAAATGAGACAAAAGAGATATATAGATATGTGATTTTGGAAGTGAATTGGAAGTTTGAACACGAAAATTTAAATAATTTTTTGAAAAGTTGCAAAACTTAGAAATCTTTGGTTCGAGTGAGAGCAAAGAGAAGGGGAAGAGAGAGGAAAACAGAATAGGGAGGAACGTTAATAGCGACGCGTACGACCAGGAATGCGAACACCGGTCGAGGCACGAAGGGATTACGTCAGGGCCTCGATTTAAATGGGCGGCATTGGTGGAATTGGTTTGAAACGACCTCGAGATTCGTTGTTGTCTCTTTTATCTAACCCTCCGTGTCCATAATCGGACACCAGCGAGGTGCTCGTCCGTGTATGAAAGGCGTGCGCGAGCAAGGTCGGTGCAGAGCGACGGACAAAGACGAACAAAGAGGAG